TTTGATGTTTATTTCCCATATATATCTTTCCTGACTTTATATTTTTAATATTTATTTATTTATTTTAAAGATTTTATTTACTTATTTGACAGAGAAAGAGAGAGAGCACAAACAGGGAGAATAGCAGGCAGTGGGAGAGAGAGAAACAGGCTCCCTGCTGAGCAGAGAGCCCAAAGAAGGGCTTGATCCCAGGACCCTGGGGTCATGATCTGAGCTAAAGGCAGATGCCTAACCAACTGAGCCACCCAGGCAAAGCTTAACTATATTTTTCAAACATTTACTATTTTTCTTTAAGATTTTATTATTTATTTGAGAGAGAGACTGACTAATTGAGAGAGAGAGAGAGAGAGAGAGAGAGAAGGAACACAAGCCAGGAGGAAAAGAGAGAGAGAGGGAGAGGGAGAAGCAGACTTTCAGCTGAGGAGGGAGCCCAATGAGGAACTCAATCCCAGGACCATGAGATCATGACCTGAGCTGAAGGCAGATGCCTAACTGACTGAGCCACCCAGCACCCCTATTTTTAAAAATTAATTCAACATAACTGGTTTTTACACTTAATAAATTAATCTAATTACATTTCCTATCATAATTATTTGCCTGTGTTTCTGTTAACTTATTTGATATATTGTGCTTTTCTTACACTGCTACTTCATTTTTTTATTTGAGTTATTGAAAATACTCATTCTGTGGTATGAAACATACCAGGAAATTGAGAGAGTAAGATCTCTTCCTTTAATTCTATTGTGATTTATTTCTATTTGTGATTATCATCAAGATTTTCAAAGGTATTCTTAACCCTAACTTATATTTTCAGAATCTAGAGCAGAGCAGGATTTTCAGTTTTTGAGTACCTTTATTGAAATCAGCATTCTGTGCAACCTTCCCTGCTCCCCACCATAATCTTTGCTTCAGAAACTCTGACATTGATACTTCCTTCCTTTTCTCTCCCTCCTTCTCTGCCTTTCTTCCTTCCTCTTTTAACGATTCTCTAAAAATGCAACAAAATATAGGAAAGTGCACCAACAACATAGAGAGTTCAGTTAAATAACCAAAAGCTAATAGAAAAACTACATATCCTTATAGAAACTGGATATTCATCCAGTCCAGAAACCCAGATCATGGGCCAATTAGAACCTCCTCCCTAATCACAAAAATTTAATCAGCAACCTAATCAGAGTAATCACTACCTAGATTTTCTTTATCATTTTCCCAACTCAAGCATGTCTTTCTAAATAGTATCATTATATTTTCCTGCTTTTCAAACTTGATATAAGTGAGGCTGTACAATATATGTGCTTCTGTACCATCTTTAATTTAACGTTATCCAAGTATGAGCCTGTAATTTTGGTTTTTGGTTTGCAGTTTCCAGTGCAGTTTCCAATGAGACATTGGCTTCCTCTTTCTATCTATTCCTCTGTATGCATGTTATCTTTTCCCTCTGATTGTTTTTCAATTTTTTTCTGTTTATCACTGAATTGAGTAAGTTGATGACAATGGGCTTAGTTATAATTTCATTTATGTTTCTTGTGCTTCGGGGTCATAGAACTTCTTGAATATATGGGCTCACAGTTTTCATCAAAGTTTTGAAAATTTTCAATTATTTTTACTTCAAATATTTTTTCTGTCTCCCTTCCCATGCTTTGCCTTCAGAGAGTTCAGTTTATATATATTGGGCAAGGAATTACCTTTAAAGTTCTTCCATAGCTCACTGATGATCTTTTCATTGTTCAATTGTTTATTCTCTCTGTGTTTCAATTTGGATAGTTTCTATTGCTACATCTTCAAATGTGCCAACCCTTTCTTCTGCAGTGACGAATCTGCCATTATTACCATCAAGTGCAGTTTTCATTTCAGACATTCAGTTTTTCATCTCTAGAAGTTCAATTTGGGTTATTTTATACCTTTAATGTCTCTAGTGTGGACAATCTCTCTTTTAACGTTCAGAAAATATGGAATACAATTATAACTTTTAACATTACACTATCTGTGCCATTAATTACACTATCTGTATGATTTCTTCTTTTTTTTTAAACATTTTATTTATTTATTTGACAGACAGAGAGCACAAGCAGGCAGAGAGGTAGGCAGGGGTCGGGGGGAAGCAAGCCCCCTGCTGAGCAGAGAGCCCGATGCAGGGCTCGATCCTTGGACCCTGGGATCATGACCTGAGCCGAAGGCAGAGGCTTTAACCCACTGAGCCACCCAGGTGCCCCCCATTTCTGAGTTGATTTATATTAATTGAGTTTTCTTCTCTTATGGGTCACACTTTCCTGCTTCTTGTCAAGAATTGGTGTCATCAGTACTCATTTAGACTTACTGAATAATTACCATTTACCTTGCTTTTAATTCTTTTCTTTCATCTTTTTCCTTCTATCTGGGATCAATACCCTCCTACCCAAAGAAAACACCAAAATTGTCTGTTGGTGAATTTTTCTTTTCTTTTTTTTTGGGGGGGGGGGGCTGAAATATCCTTGATTAACTTTTATTCTTGAAACACACATTTTCCTTGAGTATAGAATTCTTGGATGGTAACTATCATGTTGTATTGTCTTATTATTTCCATTGTATTTATTAAAAGTCAGCTATCAGCTATCAATTAAAGATTGCTTTTTAGATGTTCTCTTTATCTTTGATTTTCAGCAGTTGTACAATGATGGGCCTACTTATGGATTTATTTTTCTTGGAGTTCAAAGGGCTTTGGAACACGTGGCCTGATATCCTTCATCAACATAGGACATTTCTCAGCATAATTTCCTGAAATATTTTTTCTGCCCAATTCCCTTTCCTTTCTGTCTGGGACTCCAATAACATTTGTTATAGACTTTATCATTTTTTCCTCTATATTTGTTCCCTTTCTTTAGTGTTTGCCATCCTTTTTTTCTCTCTACTTTTTTTTTTTTAAATACATTCTTACGACCTAACTTCTAGTGCACAAATTCTCTTTCATCTGTGTCTAAAACATAGTCAAACCGTGAATCTATTCATTGAATTCTTCATTTAAGTTATGGCATCTTTCACATCTAGATTTTCTTTTCTTTTTCATTTCTTTTTTTTTTTTTTTTTTAATTTTTTTTTTTATTTGTTAGAGAGAGAGAGAGAGAGAGCATGAGCGGGGGGCAGGGGCAGAGGGAGAGGGAGAAGCAGACTCTGCTGAGCAGGGAGCCTGACACGGAGCTTGATCACAGGACCCTGAGATCATGACCTGAGTAGAAGGCAGATGCTTAACCAACTGAGCCACCCAGGTGCCCCTTTCTTTTCTTTTGTGTTGTTTTGTTTTGAATTTCTATTTTGCAGCTAAATTTTTCAATCTTGTCTTTATCCCCCATAATAGTCAACAAAATTATTTTATACATTATGTGTATAACTCTAATATTTTTAGCCCAAATGGCCCATTTCTCTTGATTGCTTTTATGTTTCCTTGTTTTATTTTTTTCTGGCTATTTTTCTGTGTGTGCTGGACATGCTGGAAATCATGTTAAAAACTCATTTTTGTAAATGGTTTGAAACCCACAACACTCTTTTTTAACTTAGTAAATGTTTTATATTTGTTTTTCTCAGGTGCCAGTAGGGACTAGCAATCTGGGTTGATCTTAAATTAATTTGAGGATTGAGAAGATTCAAAGCTGGGCAACAGTCTTTCAGAAAACTGGTCTCCTGCTGGTTCATTCTTTCTGCTAGGATACATATCTTTAGGGTTTCAACACAAAGACCAGGGGGTTTAGCATGGTCCCTTGCCCTTTTCAATGGGACTTTGGATGGATACCTTTTGTAGAATCAGCAAATGACTTAATATAAAAACAGCTTCAAGTTCTGAATTCACATCTCTGGATATCTGTTTTATCCCAGAATGTAGCCTGAAAATTCTTCATTATCTTGTTAGCTCTTTGATGCCTATAAACAGACTCCATAATTTTTGTTTTTGTTTTTGGTGTAGTTTTTCTAGTTATCTTCAAGGAGAGTAATGGTTTAAGTTATTTAGACTTTCATTGCTGAAAGCAGAAGTCTCTCCTCTTTCTTTCTCATTTTAAAACAACATATATTTTTCAAAGATAAAAGCAAACATTTAATTAAGATATTCTGATACTAATTTTGAAGCAATTATTTCAACATTTTCATACATTTAATGAGTCTCTTATCACACATTCCTTTCCAAGTGTGCCTTTCTCAGTCTTGACTTTTTCCTTCCTTTCTATATTTATTGTTTTTGCACAGGATTTCTGTTAGTTTATTCAGGAAGGATACTTGGGTGGTATATTTTCTTAATCTATGTATCCCTGAGAAAATATTACTCCTGACTCCATGTATGAGTAATAACTTCACTAAATATAGAAACTGTGTCCTTTCGAGCAATGGAAATGTTATTCCATTTCATCTAGTATTTAGAATTGTGGAAGGAGAAAGAAAGCTAAGGCTAATCTGATTTTGCTGATTTTGTTTGCAACCTGATTTTCCTATATGGTTTATAAGCCTTTCTTTATCACTGATCTTCAGAAAGTCCATGAGGCTTTGTAGATTTCTGTTCCTGTTTGAGTTTTCAGTACTGTTGTCTATAAATACGTGTACTCTTGTGTTTTGGGTGGAGAAACTGGTTTACATTACGAAAACTATTTTTGTTATTTGTCTAAAGATTGTTTTATTTCTCTTTGTTCTAGTCTCTCTTCTTTGTATTCCAAGGATATGTAGATTTAATCACCTAGCTCTATTGTCTATATGAGTCCCATTTTTCTCATTATTATCGTTTCTTCATTTCTTCAAACCCAATGCCCATAGAGTTTAGGCAGGTAACAGAAATAAAGTCAGCCTGGTACAAAAATAGTGAGTGATGAGGATTGTGGAGAGCAAATTTCCTTTCTAAACTTGGCAGCTACCAGTCACTTGACATTCATAGTTAATAAAATATTACCAGATACCATTTTTTCCCAGAAAAACTAAAATCTGTTTTTTAAAATATAATGATTCTCAGAAGAAGAAAACAAATAAAAAAGGACCTCACAACTTACCATTAGGTTGATCTTGGTCACACACAGAATGCTCTGTCACTTCATTGTCTTTTACAATATTGTCGTCCTTTGTAGAATCTGCCACAACAAATAAGCAAAACCTCTAGTCAGCACTTTTAACTGGGAAACAGAGCAGCTGCCAGCACTGTCATGATATATCTATCTTTGGGGCATGGAATTTATTATTTTTAGAAAATACCCTTAGAATACTTAAATATTTTTATCAATAACTAAGCTATTCCTAACGTACTGTAGAAGAGGTCTTGTACAAAGTTTACAAAGGTAAGGATGATAGAAATTTGGTTGGGTTATCTTTTTGCAACAAAGAAGAAAATATAAGCAGGCCTTTATGCATTAGTGAAAGTCCTTGGAGAATTGTGCAAAAGGATATGAAAGGAAGGCAAAATAGAGGAGATTAAAGGAATAACAATTTTAATGTTCTTAATGCATCCATTACTGCAGTTGTTCATATATGGCAGCCTTGAGTCCTTGAAAGAGCCAGATGTAGAGCTTTGAAATCCAGTTGTAATTAAGTTCATTTTCCTGAGGAACACTACCAGTAGAACAATAGCAAAAGGGAATGCAAACCTTCTGTTCTGTGCAATTTCATCCTCTCCCTCCTATAGCACATTTAAATGTGAAATCAGTGTAAGTTCATGTTTTTTTGTTGTTGTTGTTACAGGATATACTTGCAGGAAATAACGTGGCCAAATAGGTTTCAGTGACCATGGACTCTTCCAAGACTACACGGGATTCCTCATTGGTTCCTGAGGGCTCTCTGTAGGCTCTTTAGAAAGCCATCAGAAAGAGCATGTGAGTGGGTCGGTGGGAAGACAGAAAATGGGCCTTTCATTCATTCTAAAAGTATTTATTAAGGGCCAACCCTATGCCAGATACTTCTTGAGCCTAGGGAGTCAATAGTGATTGACTCTGCCCTCATAAAGTTTACAATCTAGGGGATATTTTTCATGCAGCTATAAGAGTGGTAATCTAAAGATATCTAAAAGCCATGACCTAATATGGTATGCATATGGCCATGGAGCACACTGGGGATGGCAGACTGAGACTCCCATTACAAATGGGTTCTCTACTGAGTTCACATTGCTCCACTGAGCTGTCACTCTGAACAGAGCTGAATAGATGGAGTCTCAAATCCTTCTTTCTTTGTTTCCTTATTCCTTTTCCCTCCCTCCCCCAACTAGGAGATCGTTTCAAACAATGCAGTTTGGAATATTATGAGAAAGTTTGTTTCTTGAACCTGCCACAAGCAACATTTGATGGACAAGTGAGAAACCTGGGTAGTTAACATATGATTCAAATTTAATAACCAGTGAAGCAAGCATACACCCAAAGTGTATGATTTTAATTAACTGCAAATAATTCCCCCAAGGCAAATGTTTAATTATCTGCACAGCTTCTTATTTCTTTCTGAGACTGACAATAAGTTTCAAAGTCCAAATTTGGAAGCAAAACTGAGCATAGACACATTTTCCAAACTCTTCTCTCACTCTAGTCAAATTGTTTTAAACCAGTTCCCCTTAAAACATGCCTTTTTAATTTTGGCTCTACCATGTGGATTTAAAACAACAAACCTTGAATACTTTTGTCCGCATTAACACTGAAAGTGAACAATGATTTTAAAAAGGTACTATATGAATCAGGCTCAATTTTAATTTTGAAAATTTTACTTATTTATAGAGAATGGCATCATTTGATATGCAGGCTTGGGCAATACTCATTTCTCTCGACATTAATGTTTTAAGATTATCCAAGATTTTGCATGTAGTTAAAATGTGTTCATTTACACTCAACAATAATTCATTATGCTTTATAATTTACATAAACATTATTTTCCATGCATCAAATATTATATTAAAAATGTCTTTTAAAAAGTGATTTACATTGAGTTTATGGTCTAATGATTCACATAAGATGGGTGAAAATACTTGAAAAATTAATCTCTGGACTGTCACCAAAATCTGTCTTTCTAGCAAACTAATTGACCCTTCAGTTTCAATTTCCTTGGAGAGTTGTTTTAACGTTGCTAAGGTGCCTTCAGATCTTATGTGTTCTAATCTATATATAATGTTTTGTTGAATCTAAGACACCATCAATTGTCATTTTCACTATTAACTTCGTGTAGGTAGGAAAAAAAAATGCTACCAAATGAACCGTAATACACTATTAATTTAAGAATGTGTCATAATTTTAGAAATAAAATCTACAAAGGACTATATATATATATATATCTATATATATATATATCCTAGATATATAATGTTTGCGCACATTCTCTGTGGACACAAATACATGTCTTTCTGTGAGGCCAAGTATTTCCTATCAACCTGACCCATCACCAAACCCACAAGTTGCTTTTGTTTTGTATTTGAAATGGTTCCACTTGCATATACAGCAATAAAACAGGATAAAAGCTAGAAGCTCATGACAGCATCCACACATGACCATGTGGCTATGAGATTGTTTCCACTGAAGTTTCTCTCTTTTCAAAGGGCTCTTTGAATTCCTAGTCACATGAACTTTGGCAAGACTGGATATGGTCCTGAATGTTTTATTTTTTTATTTTTTTTATTTTTTTTAAAGATTTTATTTATTTATTTGAGAGAGAGACAGTGAGAGAGAGCATGAGCGAGGAGAAGGTCAGAGGGAGAAGCAGACTCCCCGTGGAGCTGGGAGCCCAATGTGGGACTCGATCCCGGGACCCCGGGATCATGACCTGAGCCGAAGGCAGTCGTCCAACCAACTGAGCCACCCAGGCATCCCGGTCCTGAATGTTTTAAATCATAGATCTTATTATGTTAGACTTAGTTGTGGGTTCGAAATGACAGTGCAGCTTTTCTGCCTAGGGGTGATGAACACTGCACTGCATATATATATATATAAAATCATTATTCATAATAAGAAAGAACACATATTGAGTATATATGGTCACTAAAAGAGCTTATTTTTCTATGTAAGTTCTATAAACTACCGTGAAAAATATAGTTGTATATACTAAATTCTTGCAGCCCCTCAAATTCATATTTTATTTAATTCTAAAATTTATCATTTGGTAATATTCAAAAAATGTAAAGGACTTACCACCTAATTCTGAGATTCAGTCAATGTTATTTTAATAGCAGAGAACTGGAATTAAATATATATGCAGACTGTGACTTTCAAAATCCTTAAGGTCAATGTTCTATCAGAAAATTTTTTCAAATGCAAATATTAAATCAAATGTTTGAGCCAAAGTTCTAAAGATAGATTATCTTTTAAGATTAACAAGAATAAAAAAGAAATACTTCCATACAGTAAAAAAAATTTCCTCATTTAGAAAGTTGAAAAAGGTTTAAGAGTAGTTAAAATAGATTAAAATTTTAAAAAACATAAAACAAATTCTAAAAAGCAGGTCATTTTTAATGTAGTCAATTACACCATGTCTATATAAAACAGTACAAGTACAGATTGAAGATGTGATGATAAGCAATGAAACTACTGCATTTTAAAAAAAGATTTTATTTATTTGACAGAGAAAGAGATCACAAGTAGGCAGAGAGTCAGGCAGAAGCAGGCTCCCTGCTGAGCAGAGAGCCCAATGTGGGGTTCCATCCCACGACCCTGAGATCATGACCTGAGCCAAAGGCAGAGGCTTAACACACTGAGCCACCCAGGTACCCCACTATTGCATTTTTAATAAACATCTAAACTGTAAATCAAAATAGGTACTATCTCTTTTGAAAATGTCCCCTTACAATAAAAGTTCTTAACCTTAATTAAGAACTTAGTTCTTAACTCCTAGATATATTCTAGAGGAATAAATTGATGTGTAAAATGTGTACATATATTGTCATGTTCACTTATTTAGAAGGAGATAGTTTCCATCATATTTTCATAGGGACCCATGACCCTGACAAGACTAAAAATAACTAGAATATTTATATCTTAATGCCAGTGAAACAGCCATTTTACAAAAGGTTTTTAGGATTATAATTGAGAAGCAGCTACAGAATTTGATGCCCACTCCATGAATTCATCAATGACGGCACTTCTTGAATTCTTTTTTTTCTTTTTTTAAGATTTATTTATTTATTTATTTATTTATTTATTTATTTAACACAGAGAGAGTGGGAGAGAGAGCACAAGTAGGTTGAGCGGCAGGCAGAGGGAGAAGGAGAAGCAGGCTCTCTGCTGAGCAGGGAGCCCGATGTGGGGCTCGATCCCAGGACCCTGGGATCATGACCTGAGCCGAAGGCAGCTCTTAACCAACTGAGCCACCCAGGCACCCCACTTCTTGAATTCTTAAGGTAGATTTGACTTGAGAAAAGAGCTAAAAACACATACAGATGCGTTTAACAAATGAAGAGGACAATCCAGCTGGTAAACAACATTTTGGACCAAAATTTGGAATGTCTATAAAGTATAAAACTGAACGGATGATTAACTGCCTTTGAAAATATTTTCAAGTCAGAGGATGTACAAAATCCATCTAGTAAGAAAGGTAATCCCTGACTACTATGGAGAGTTGCGGTAGGAGGTCACTTTGGTATAAAAGTTCCAAGGGGTCTGAACAAAGTAAGTGTTATGTACAAACACCTATGTCTGAAATATTTGCTCTGTAGCCTGTAAACATTCACCCACGAGTCTCTTACCTTGCACAGAAACCACAATCACCTGGATTTCCTCTGGTTCTTGTAAACTGATTCGATTATACCAAGGAAAACATTTATCCTGGCCTGCTCATTTGAATCGCTGGTTTATTATGTGAAGCAATTAGAATAGTTTTTCCTCCATCTGAACAGTATGTTTATCCACCATAAACTAGCATCTCCACAGCTGAGTATGGTCTCATTGAAGCTTTGCAGGAACTATTCCTCTATATAGGAGAAATGTATCCTGCAATACATTCCTAGAGTATTCAGATGGCAACGATCTAAACTATGCTCGGCCCCAGTGCAGCTGGACATACAAGGCTGATCTATATTTACCTGTAAAGTTACCAGGTCCATAGGACAGGACATTGCCCTGAGCATTGGGAGGCCAGACAGAGCTGTGGTCGGTCATTTGTCTTCATTGTGCAA